GAGGAGCGGGCAGTCTAAGTAGCCGCAGCATCCTCTCCTGCTGCCACAAAGCCAGGCCAGCATGTTACCTGTGTCAAAGGCTCTCACCTGCCCAGGGCCCTGTGGTGCTGGGACCCAACCGTGCAAAGAACTATGGGATGCTGCAAAGGACCCTTAGGGCCAAATATCCTGCAGGCTATATGCCCGAGGAGCCAGGATCAGCCCTATGGCACTTGGAGGCCTATGAGGCTCTAGAGGCTGGGAATGGACTTGAGACACCTCAGATGATTTCAATTCGCTTTTTTAAAAAGGCCAGCCCTTTTATCCCTAAAAGTCAGGGCCTGCCAGGCCCAGAGGTCCAGACATTCTCAGTCTGCTGAGACATTCCTTTGTATGTGCATTCTTCCCTCCACCAATCCCTATGTAGAACAGGTCCCGTTTCAAATTAAGGAAAAGGAAACCTGGAGGAAATGCAGTCCAGAGAGAGGAAGAGGCAGGTACAGCCCAGCACCAGGAAATTGAAACTCCCAATGAAGAGAGCCCGCAGACCTTAATGGAATTTGTGAGCAGCCAAGACTCCCCCTGGGCTCTGCCACCTGACTGCAGCCCGGAGGACCAGCACCTGAGGGAGCTGGCAGTACAATCACCGCAGCTCATCCGGGACAACTTCATCTTTTTGTTCTACAGGTCCTTAAGGATAGTGGATAGAGGAGTGAGTTCAATAATGGAGCTCTTCACTGTTGTTAAAATGTAGAGAAAGGCTGAGTGCAAGATTGGGAGCCAAGAACTGCTTTGTTGTAATCTTAGCGTGGACACTGCCACCCTCTGTGCTCTTGGCCAAGTCATGTAGCCTTTTCTACATCAGATCCCCATATATAAATTAGATGCTATTATGTTCCTGTCTCACGGGAGAGCTGTAAGGATTTAATGGTTAATGTTCAAATGATGCTAAAGGTGCTGGAGCTAGGGGGAGTGGCACATCCCTTGGCTTGAAGTGATTTCCACCATACAGTATTTACAGTTTTGTTCGGTTGCGTTCTCTGCCTGGTGTGAGTATTGAGGATTACATCCGGTTTTCACAGATTTGTGCTCTAATGACATGCTCCTATAATATTCCTGTTCAGTTTTGATTTTTAGAAGATAGTAATCTTTTTGCGATGGGCATGGTGTAAAAATTACATCTCACAAGAGTTTTCCAGAAATAAAGTTATCTGTAACTTTCTTATAGTTTTCAAACATTTCCCAGTGAGGTTAGCTAATCCATCTCAACAGTGGTGGTGATTGTTTTCCCATCCTATTTATTTATCTTTTAAGAAAGTCAAGGCTGTAATGGTGGACCTGAAAAAAGCACCTCTTTTCAGAATAGCATTTAAGAACACTCTTAACTGTAAGCATGCACTTGTATCCCATTGAATTCACTAGGAATTTTAAGCACATGTTTAAATGCTGCCCTGAAAATGAATGGGTTTAAACACGTGCTTACAGACTTTTCTGAAACAAGGCTTAAGTGGTGTTAGACATGTTGTCTAAATACTCACTAGCACTTGGCAGAAGGGACTGAGAGGCAGGATCTGTCTCCTGGTCAGATTCTCAATTAAACTCTGTGGAATGAAAGTGCCCTCTCCAGCTATAGATACTGGCTACATTCTGTCCATACTGAGCCCCCTGAACTTTGGTTGTATGGCTGCCTGTTCCACAGGGAAGAAACACCTCTAGGTATCCTTTTACCTCATTCACTCTCCACCTCATTCCAGCTTTCATCGGAACCATTTGCTCTTTTTCCTCAGTCACATATCTCTTGCTCCCTCTCCTGCCACCTTATATACCTCTGAGAATTATTTTAGGAGCTCTAGGGCCTGAGCACCCAAAGTCTCCAATGAAAATAAAGGGAGCTGCAGGTGACTAGTGCCTTTCAAAATCAAAATATGGATGTGAAAATATGGTACAGGTGGTACAAAATATGGGTGTGATCTTCCAACTTTTATTCAGGTAAAACAAATGTACTTAGGGACTTAGAGACTATAATCAAGCAACCTGGAAATCAGATCAAAATCTCCTCTAGTAACCAATGGGAGTTTTGCCTTTGTGCGGTCTGCAGACTCAGACGTTAATGTGCTTTAGAGTGTGTCTAGACTACATGCCTCCGTCGACGGAGGCATGTAGATTAGCCAGATCGGCAAAGGGAAATGAAGCCGTGATTAAAATAATCGCGGCTTCATTTAAATTTAAATGGCTGCCCCGCTCTGCCGATCAGCTGTTTGTCGGCAGATCGGGGGAGTGTGGTCGCGACGCGCCGACAAAGAAGCCTTTCTTGATCGGCACAGGTAAACCTGGTTTCACGAGGCATACCTGTGCCGATCAAGAAAGGCTTCTTTGTCGGCGCGGCGCGTCCAGACTGCCCCGATCTGCCGACAAACAGCTGATCGGCAGAGCGGGCCAGCCATTTAAATTTAAATGAAGCCTCCAGGTAAATGAAGTTGATGAACATTTGTTGAAGTTTCATAACCTGGAAGAACTCGTACTCAGTGCCAATCAAATCAGCAAAATAAACTCCGCCCATCTTCCTCGAACACTGAAGGTAAATAAGCAGGAACCTGACCCTTTTTTTGGGGGATGAGACAGGGAAGGTGTGTCAAGATGACTATCTCTTTTGCCTTAGGACAGAAGGTAAATGAAGTTGATGAACATTTGTTGAAGTTTCATAACCTGGAAGAACTCGTACTCAGTGCCAATCAAATCAGCAAAATAAACTCCGCCCATCTTCCTCGAACACTGAAGGTAAATAAGCAGGAACCTGACCCTTTTTTTGGGGGATGAGACAGGGAAGGTGTGTCAAGATGACTATCTCTTTTGCCTTAGGACAGATTGAATGAACCTTAGTGGGCTACAGCAGAAGCAATACATAGATAAAGAAAATTATCACCCTATAGAATGTTATTTCCCTTCCCCCAACAATCCTGCTCCTTCTTTCCCTTGCAGGTCTTAGAGCTCTGTGGCAATGAGATTGTCGGTTTGCAGGATCTATGTTCTCACCCACCTCCAAAGCTCCAGCATTTGGGGCTGGGCTACAACAGGCTGCTGGGCTCCTCAGAAGATAAATATCTCACTGCAGACTTCTGGTAACTACCAGCCTTAAAGAAGGACCATAGCATAACAGCCTAATGCTGTCATAATCTCATAATATCCTTTATAAACCTGGTGGACCTAAACTAAACTTTATTCAAGTAAAACCTTATTGCAGTAGGCTTTTTGGGGCCCGTTACATTAAAGCCACAGGTTTGTGCATGTTATCATGGAATTATCTGTCCCTTCTCCAGTAATGTACTTCCTCTATTGTCAACTATGTAAAGCTGTCCCCACCCTGAGAAGCTACATATGCTAGTTCAAAGTGGATTCTCCAGGGCCCAACAGATGAAGAAAGGACTTTTGGATAAATAGCCTGGTTTTAATCTGGCTCAGAGCCCTTTCTGATCCAGAGGAGTGCACTGAATTATCTGAGAGACAGAGGTGAAAGTAAGTGGTGTGCCCTGGTGTGCAGCTCTGGCAAGAGCTGGCTGAGCTGCAGCAAAAGTCAGCAGGGACCTATTTAAAGAGCTGGCAGGGACCTGGGTTGCAATAAGACAGTGCCTATAAGAAATTTTTAAGTTACCTACACTGCTGCTTAGAGATGAAATATTTCAGGGCTTAAGCTATGCACAAACAGACAAGTTAGGAACCAGCCTCCCTCCTGTGTGGGTTATTTGTAATTATCCACTAATTATGTATTTTCCTCTGAAGAAGTTGATTCTGGCCACTGTCAGAGACAGGATATGGGACTGGTGGAGCATGGCTCTGATTCTATGGCCATTCCTCCTATGTTCCTGGTTCAATCTGCATTTTCCAAGGGATGCATCCTGAAGTCTTTAATAAATCTTGCCTGAATAAGGGCCTATGGCTTACACCCAGAGCTAGGGAAGGATACTGTATGCTTGCTAATTGTTCTGTATTTCAGTAGCATGGTGATGATGACTGTTCCAGTTCAGGATTTTGTCAGTAGCATATCAAGAATATTAACTTATGGGCATAGTCCCTTGTAAGATGGGTGATTGTGTGGCCACTTAGGAGAGATTCCAGTGCTGTCCAATGGATTAGCAGAGCACCAATTGCTAGGTTTTGGTTTCTACTGGTGGTGCTCATTGGCACATCTTGGTGCATGTAAAAACAATTTATTCTGCACATGGATGGAAAAGTTTAGAGGGAACATTGCTTGTGGGTTCTCAGTGTGAATCCATCTTAGTTGCAAATTGTTGCCATACAGTGGCCCAAGAAAAACGCATAGGGCTCATGGATTTCAAGAAGATCTTTGTTTAGATATCAGTCTGGGCCAAATATACAGACCTGAATGTTGCTTGTTAGACACCCTCATACTGTTCTGTTCTTTTTTAGGCCAAATCTTCTCTCTCTTGACCTAAGTTTTAATAATTTTACGGATCTGTTGGGCATAGTTGCTAAACTGGACACTCTGCAGCAGCTCAGAATGCTTGTGCTGCAGGGAAATCCGCTAGTGCTCATGCCTGGCTACCGAGGTTTTGTAATAGATAGCCTGCCCAAACTCTGCATACTGGATGACAGGAACATATCGCCCGATGAGAAGCATAAGTTCCATGGTCTATCTAGCAAGCCAGGTGAGACTTTATTTTGTAAATATCTCCATAATCTCTCTCTTTTTAAAAAAAGTCAGTTTGGAGTAGTGGGTTGAGCATGGGTGTGGGAGTCAGGAGTCCTCAGTTCTAATTCTAGATCCACTGACGGCTTCCTGTTTTATGGTGATCAGTTCCCCCTTCTCTCTGCCTTAACGTACTCATCTGTAAATGAGGATAGTTGTTCCCATAGACCCACCTCGTGTAGATGGGCTGTGAGGATTAATTAACTGATGTCTAATTGTAAATATTTGTAAGTGCTAAGCATGATCATTCTGTTTTTTAATTCCATTACACATGAAGGCTCTTGATGTATCACATAAACTGTCCCTAAATTCTCACATTTTGGCAAGATTAAAGATGGCTGACAAAACTTTGTATAACCAGTTACTTCTTTTGGCTTTGTATAACCGTTTACCTTTTGTAAAATGGGGAGAATGATATTTGTTGACCTCCTGTGTAAAGTGCTTTGAGAATTACAGATGATGAAAGGCACTATGCAAGAGCAAGGCAGTCTTCATTATTCGTGTTATTTCTCTATATTCCTGGGTCAAGAATCTAGCTGGATAGTGCATGCACAACTTACATTGATACCAGGTTTCATGGTGATAAACTTCAAAACTGAAGAGACAGAGAATTTGGTCTTGATCTGTTAATCAGACACTCAGATTTGCAGTTCTTGGATTTCAGCTCTCTAGCCCAATTGTGATATAATCCTACTCCCCTCTCTTTGTGACAGCATTTTTTTGCCATCTAAGGAAGGCACTGTCTCCAGTTCTGCATTATGGTCTCCCTGCAAGGGAAATAAGATCCGCTGGGCTGAGCATGAGCAAGCCCGTATTGCACAGATTTGTGTTTGATTTTAGATCTGGCCATTGCCAATCAAGGTTGCTGTTCTATGCTGGTGCCTTGATTCAAGAAAATGTGTTTACACACATTTAACTTTCAGCATGCAAATAATTAAGTATGTACTTAAATCCCATTGATTGTGTTTCAAGTCAGATGTTTGGAAGGTTTCTTCAGAAGAAAGTCCCTCGTTAAGGCTCCTGTTCAGGACAGAACTGGACTTGCTTTCCTGAATGAGGGCTTAGAAATCTACAATACAGCTGTGAAGGCAGCAAGCCCATCACCTGAGGAAAAGGAACTCTTTGCATGGCTTTTGAGTGACCCCATGTGGCCAGTGGTTGCCTTGGCATTAATGGATCAGGAACCACATTGGATGCTCCTTGCTGGAATAGTGTATTTGCTGAAGTTGGCTTGGTTTATACCTTGCTAGATCAGATGTGTCTACACTTGCTGCAGTCACATCTCTCAACCGCAGTGTAGATAACACCTCAGAGGATTCCCCCCTGCCAAACAGCCCTCCACTAAAATATCTGACCCCTTCATTTCCTAACTCACTTTGCAACAGTATCTCAAATTCCATCCCAGAGAATGTATATTGTAACTTGGTGGCTGGATTGTCTTCTTCTTAGATCTCATTGTGAATAAAGCACAACTGGTGGTGAGTGTTGGGAAAATCAAAGGTGTCCCCAACCCCATCAAACCAGAGGAGCTGGAAAGCAGCCCAGAGTTTCCATTGATCACTTACAGCTACTATGTGACATACGAGTTTGTGGAGAGGGAAAATGCCGAAGACACCAACAGCGCTGAGGTCTGTTTTAAAGTCTAAATAAAGGGAACAAGCAGGTGGTTGGTAAAGGTGAATCACAAGCCTTTCACCTCCAGGTTTTTGGTGTTTCACAGCCCAGGTTATTAGTGACTGAAAGTTGTTAGTTCACCAGTATGAAGTGAGTTTGTCGTATTCTCAGTGGCCATCAGCATTACAAAAAACACGTCCCTGCAACTGGCTTCCTACAGGAGGTTGCAGCAAAGGACTAAGTTGGTCTTGGAAACTAACTTCCCCTTTCACCTGGGGAATGTGCACAGCTGTAGGTGCTTCAGGGACCAGTTAAGGGAGGACAGTGTTGCCAGCTCTTCAGAGTTTTATCATGAATTATTTCATATTTGATGTTTTTCTTAAAATTCTGAACTCTGAAGCCATGTGAATACATCAGAATCTCCGCTTTCATTTTAAAAGTAAATTGCTAGTTTCATAGCTATGGAGATAAGGAGGGAACTCTCGAGATTAAAAGGCCAAATGGCAAACAACACTTTCAAATGTATTTGTATTATTTTAAAAAACTCACAATATGGGCACAGACATATGCTGCAAAGGCAATATTTATGTGTCACTATCTTCTGTCTGAGATCAGTCCTGTATGTCCTTGCCTCCATGCACTCTGTTCTTGCAGTGAACAGTAGTATCCTGCACAGAAGGATGTGGTTATGTACTTAAATTTGCAGACTCACTGACTACAGTAGATGTGATCACCAGAGTCACCACTGTTGACCATGGCTTCCGATGTTGCTTCCATGTTTCTTATGATGGGGAAAGTCTTTAGAATGGCATTTCAGAAGTGCTTGGGTATATCCAACCTGTCTCTGTGTGCAGCATAGTACTAAATTTGGCCCCTTTTACTGATGCCTTTGAAGCTTTTCTGTTACAGATCCATCAGAATCAAACGGTGGCAATACCAAGTCCTGGGAGTCCACCAGAGAATGATGACCAAGGAGGATCGGCATTACCAGATGCGTCTTCTCCGCTTAAAACAGAGCCTCCGGCAAACAGGGGTACCACAGAATTGAGAACTTATTTCTTTAACCTGAATTTGGTGTGTTTGTTTATCAGTCTCCTTGGAATGTCATCAAATGCTGCATTGAAATAAGTTGCCATCAACAGGTCTCTTGTAATGAATGGTCCTGCAGCACCTTAGAGACTAACAAAAAAATAATATAATGAGTTTCATGGGCATAACCGACTTCTTCAGATGAGAAATATCATCTGGTAATGTCTCTGGTAATGTAGAATCATAGAGGTGGAAGAGATCTCAGGAAGTCATCAAATGCAGCCTCCTGCCCAAGGCAGGACCAATCCCAACTAAATCAACCCAGCCAGGGCTTTGTAGGTAATAGCTTGATCCATTATCAAGACCATGCCACTTAATAATTGTTCTCCAGCAAGACTTTTGGTCTAGGATGGATACTGCTCTCCAGATAAGTACAGTGAATACAAATCAGGTTCTGGGGCTTATACTTTGCAAGTGATTGCCTCAAATATGTAATTTCATTTGGTGTGATAATTACAGTATTAAAAATCATAGATCACAGCTTTACTCTGTGATTGTACAAAACCCCAGAAGCCCAGTGTGAAATAAAACTACCCAAATAAAAAAGGCCATTTAGGCTCTGTCTACACTGCACAGTTATTTCAGAATAAGCTATTCTGGAATAGTTATTCCAAAATGGCTTATTTCGAAATAGCACATCTACACTACAGGGAAGCCTCAAAATTAATCCGAGGCAGGCTTCCCTAATGAAGACATGCTATCTTGTTTTAGAGCCCCAGGTGGAATAACAGAATGGCCCTGGTGAGGGGCTATTTTGAAATAGCAGAAGTGGAGCATCTACACTATCTATTAGTGTTAATCTTCATAGAATGAGGTTTACAGATGTCGGAATAAACTGTCCGTTATTTCAAAATGGTTAGACACTTGTGTAGTTATTTCGGAATAACGGCCGTTATTCTGAAATAACTTTGATGTGTAGACACACCCATACTGATCTAACCAGAATTTCAGGAATTTACAAAAGAATTGAAGCTGATGTACTTGAATGACAAAATATCAACATATGTATTCAGTTGTCAGTGCCTTATTTCTACAGTGTTGTTTCAGTACTTAAAAGGATACAGGACTCAAATCTGCAAGGAGGGAATGTGGGCTGCTGCAAGTAGTTAAAGGGATTAGTCATAAGAGCTAGTGCCATACCTTGGAGCAGAAGTTTGCAAAATCAAGCCCTTGTTTTGTATAACATCATACAGACTGTGTGTTACAGAATAAATGCAGGGTCCAATCCTGGATCTGTTTTGTGCATGCAGCTCCTACTGAAGTCAGTGAGTGTTCTTTGCAGGGAGTGATTTATTGGATTCAAAGTCACAAAGTTAAAGTAAACACTATTAAAGGTTTACTAAGTGAAACTAAGAGGCAAAGGTAAGGGAGATAAGAGCTGAGATGTCCTAGGAGACAGAGAGTCCTTGAAGCAGAGAGTCAAGGGGGCTCTCACAGGTGGCAGGAGCTGCAGAAGAGGAATCATCCTGTGAAAAGCCAGAAGGGGAGGCTAATGCAAGATGAATGAGGTAAAGGAGAGAGGGAGAAGATTCTTGATATAGGCTGAAAAAAAGCATGAGGAGTCCTTTAAATATTGTAGCAAGTCGGTAGTTTTGAACTGAGTCCAGCCATTATTGGGGGGCAAACAGGGTTATTTTAAGATTGTGTACAGGGGTAGTACTGTGGTTTAAGTGAGAACTTGACAATAACTCTTCCCCTTAAAATGCTTTTGTCCCTGCCTGGCTTCTGACACACTCACTCGCTCACATGTTACTACCACAACTGCTTCAGTAGCTTGAAAGTGACTTGAGGCAACTAGCTGAGTACCCAGAAGTGCATCTCACCAGAGACTCCTCATCTTTGCCTGGTTACAGGATTTCTCTTGTCTCCTGAACTCAGCTCTTTTGCATCTCAGACAGTATTGCATGGGATGCTCTGTTTATTTATAAATTGTATTCTCCTGAAATTGCCCCAAAGGGTGAGTTTGTTTGTTGTAGCCAGACTGGACTTAAAACAGTGGGCCAAATTCAGCCCTAGCGTAAGACTACTGTCTACTGGCTGTAATGGAGCTGTACTTAATGGCTGTAGCCAGCTGGTCCTGTGGTGGGATCTCACCAGAGCAAGCATGCTAGTTTGGTGGGTCTCAAAGTCTGGCCAGAGTCCACATCACTAATAAAAACATCCACAATGTAGCCAGCTGGTCCTGTGGTGGGATCTCACCAGAGCAAGCATGCTAGTTTGGTGGGTCTCAAAGTCTGGCCAGAGTCCACATCACTAACAAAATAATCCACAATTGGGATTCATGCTGGCAGGCCGAGCTGGACATCCATGGATTGAATGAATAATGGAAACTCCACTCCCTCCTACTGATGGTTCCAGAGCAGAGAAGTCTGGGGGTGAGGTAATACTGCCCTCTGCAGGCACAGCTGAGATGCCAGGGAAAGACAAGGTGGTCCTCACTGCTCCTTTTGTGTTTTCTCATTTAGCGAACAAGCATCTCACCATTCGGAAATCCTGGGCGGAGACCATGGATTGTAATCACAGGAAAGAACACATCACTGGGGATTTAGTGGAACTGAAAGCCTTCCTGATGGCTGGGACCACCATCACTGTTGTAGAGGAAAAGGTAAATGTTTGGCACGCTCGGGGGAAGAGGGACACAGTTTGGCTGGGAGGGAAACGAGGTTTCCAAAAGCCTGACAATAATGCCAACATGCCCTTGCATTTGCATCTCTTTAATTCCAATGTAACAAACTGAGAGCCCATCTGCTGTTTGCTGCCCAAACACTGCAGCGGAAGAACCAGACTGTTCTGTCTTGCTAGGTGCTTTCCTGGCCTGTGGCTGCAGCTCAGACTGAAGATGCAGGAAAGAAGGGGAAAGCAGAGAAGGGGAAGGCAGATAAGGGAAAGGCTGAGAAGGGGAAGCCAAAGGATGGTGGCAAGGTAATAATAAAGATGGGCAGGGAGGATGTTATTATTGTGAAGACTGATTAAAGGGGCTAAGTAAACCCACACAAAGATTAAGGCAGTGTGGCTTACGGGCACAGTTCGCTTTTAATTAACCGGCGAGTCTGTTCAGCATGCCAGTGACAAGCTACACCTACACCGACCCTTGTCAGAGATGCAGGGGGGCATCTGCAGCTACTTCATATGATGCAGACGGTTGCAGAGAGGCTTCATTAAAAGAATCAAATGGAAAAATATCTACGTGAGCTGTAACAGAACAATGTTTATTTCTCTATTCCCAAGGGGCTTTGTTCAGTTCAGTTTGTTCCCCCAAACCCTAAGCACTTGGTCTCTTGCCTGATCTGTGCCAAGTAATAATCAGGGCTTTAGTTTCTATGAGAAGCCTCCCACTTACTCCTAAAGTTCTTGTCTGGGTATCAAGCCCCCTAGACTCAGATAGAGATATTTGATGCAGCCATTTTTCTCAATCTTCATTCTGGAGGCAGGTGGGAGTGGTTATAGTGACACGTCTTAGCCTGGACTGGGTTCCCATCTGGCTGTGTCATCAAGATAGTCTGATGTCTGATGAATGGACCATGATCTTAAGATGTGTGATGCTTGGACGTGCTCCAATCCATGTTGTGCAGGGAGACAAGCAAAAAAAGAAAAAGGAAAGCCCCATCGAACTGCGCAGTGACCCGCCTTTCTTGAGAAGCCTGGGATCTGGGAATGTGAACCTTGAGAGCCTCTTAACAGGTGACCAGCTTGTAGCCGTGGTGTGTGACTTTGGGATTCTCATCACTGAGGAAACAACTCAGCCATCATCTCCTAAGGAGAAGGTACCAGCCACTTTAGCATTAGTGGCGACTCCTACACCCAGCTAATAAGGCAAAGGAAAAGACACTACCCTTGCAAGGGATGAATGCTTTCCGTTGCTGCCCACAGGAGCACACTGCATGTGTGAGTCTGTGCATTGGCCCTGTCTTGTGGGACACTCCATAAGACTGGATGTGTTTCACGGGGAGCAAATCTTGGCCTGAGTTGAGGGAGAGACCCGGAGAGGGAGCAGAAGTAGAACCTTGCCACTGGGCACAGAACACAGAATCTCAGCTGGGCTCAGAAGGCTGTTGCATGGGAAGCTTCTCCTTATTGCAAAGTCAGTTCCATAAGGAAGGGCAGCAGGCGCTCGGGCCCTTGGAAAGACGAATAATTTTTATACTGGAGATGAGATTATACTACACACAGGCTCTCTGAATGATCTTGTCAACATAAAGCCAAGCTGGTCCATATGCTTGTGCCAGCCCAATATGGCCAGTGGTCCATGAAGCCTATAGCTCTCTGGAGCACTGACCCATGCCCGATGCTTCAGAAGAATGGGGAAAAGCCCTTATACTCCACATGGGACAATTTTACCAATGAAATGTGCTGCATAAAATCTTGGTGGTGGTATTATTAATATGGTCTTATGGCAAAGAAGAACTGATCTGTTTCATCTCCTTTCCATACACTGAAATCATTTACTCACATCCTTTCTTGCATTGGTCTGAGGCATAAGATTAGACTCTGTGGATGTTCTGGGGCGGGAGCACCCACAGAAAAAAATATTAGTGCCAGATTCTCCCTCCCTTGTGTTTCCCACCTGCTAGCAACCCCTCAAATTAACTCCTCCCCCTCCCAGGGTGCCTAATATCCACTGCAATCAGCTGTTTTACAGCATACAGAAGGCTCTGGAAGGAAGGGGGAGGAGCAGGGATGGGGCATGGTCGGGGGAGGAAGCAGAAAGAGGTGGGGTGGAGTGAGGAAAGAGCATGGGACGGAAAAGGGGCAGAAAGACGCAGGCAGGGGCTTGGAAGAAGGAATCGAGTGGGGTTGGGACCTAGGACAGAGCAAGGATTTGAGCACACCCTGAGCCTGGAGGAAGCTGGTGCCTATGCTCCTAAGTAGGATATAAATCCTAAAGAGCTGCTGAGCTACAAAATATTCCCTTTGTAGAGTGGCTCTGACATTTCCTGTTTTCTGACATTCTCTCTCTTGTTTCTGAGTACAGGGCTCTTTGCTGAGCTCTTCTGCTGATTAGTGACATTTAAATCCTAATCCTCTGCTTGTGACATAACCCAGCAGTGTGAAATAGTTATGATGCCCCAGTGGGGACATTGTGACTTCAGGGCTAAACTTTGCCTTGTGCAAGCTGCTGAGAAGCCTTCCCCACTTCTTTTCCCTAGGACAGTAAGAAGAGCAAAGACAAGAACAAAAAAACCAAAACAGAGGGAGAAAGTCCTACAAACCAGAAAACCACAGTCTAAGCTGTCAGCCTTCAGGAAGGGGCTGCCTCATTGAAATTCAATGAGGAAGGCAGTGCCAGCATCCTCCATCCATCCAGCTATAGGTTGCACGCAAGCATCTGAATAGCACTAATTCAGCAAGGAATTTAAACACATTCCTAATTTTAAGCTCATGAATAGGTCTATTCACCTCACTGGGAATATATGTGTGCTTAAAGTTAGACACATGCTTTGTTCAGCTGGTGCGTACAAGGTGTATGTGTGTTCAGGGCCTGGCTTGTGTTATCTTGTCCGATAGGGGTGTTCTGTCTGGTAATAACATAGCACAAGGGTCGGCAACCTTTTCAAACCAAAGAGCTAAACTATATCAAAATTCAGAACAGGTGGTCAGAAAAAAGCCGTATAAGAATGCCCATATGCATGACTAAAAATATACAACTTAATAATATTGATAATTGACATGATGATTAATAATAACATAAATGAAACATACTCACAGACTTTATTTAATGAGATTTCTGCAGCTGCATCTTTTCGCACATTTCTTTGAAGTTTCCATCACAACTGGTCAAATCCAGCTTCATGCACTCATTCAAGCTGTCTTCTGTCAATCTAATGGCAGGAGGCTGATGACTTGAGGTGCAGGAGTTGGGGTGCATGAGAGGCTCAGGGCAGGAGATTGGGGTGTACGGTGGATTCAAGGCATAAGGTTGGGATGTGTGGGGGTTCAGGAGTGCTATGGCAAGCGACTGTGGATATGGGGGTGCATGAGTTTGGGAATGCAGGGGTGTGAGGGGCTCGGATCAGGGGATTCGAGTGTATGATGGACTCAGGATTGGTGTGTGTGAGGGTGCAGGAGTGTTATGATGCTGAAGCTAGATAGGGACTGGGCCCCAATTGGGGGCTTCTTAGCCAAGTTTCATTTTTAAATACAGTAAAGTATGTTCAACACAAAAGGTTTCAAAATTGTCTTTATTTATGACAGTGGTGGGAAACCTTTTTTGGGTCGGGGGCCACTAACCCACAGAAAAATCAGTCAGGGACCACACAAGTGGGAAGCAAAATAAAAAACCCTCAAAAAACTCCCAACCCTCACTCATATGACCCCCAACCGAAATACCTCACTCGCGTGGTGCTCCAGTCCCTATAGTGTCGGGAGGAACAGGGAAGACTGAGGTTTAAGGCCTCAGGCCAAATTTACTCTTCTGGGCTTCCAGGGATAGTGGATTTTTGGGGGCCCCCAGTGCAGAGTGTGCAGGACAGGGCTGCCAGTGAATGGTATAGGGATGAGAGTACAGGTCAGGGCGGGAGCTGGAGTGTAGGAGGGGATGAGGGTGCGAGGTCTGGCCATGGGGCAGGCTGCGTGGAAGACTGAGGTTTAAGGCCTCAGGCCAAATTTACTCTTCTGGGCTTCCAGGGATAGTGGATTTTTGGGGGCCCCCAGTGCAGAGTGTGCAGGACAGGGCTGCCAGTGAATGGTATAGGGATGAGAGTACAGGTCAGGGCGGGAGCTGGAGTGTAGGAGGGGATGAGGGTGCGAGGTCTGGCCATGGGGCAGGCTGCGTGGCCAGCGGGCAGAAGCAGGCTGGTGGCTGACTGCCTGGCCAGGGGGCCAAGAGTACCTGGCCAAGGGATGTCTGGCCAAGGGGCAGAAAATTTTTTGGCCAAGGGCAGGCTGTCTGGCTGGGGGGATGAGTAAGGCGAGGTGTGGGCATGAGGAGCTGGGGAGACACTTGTTTTCACATGGCAGAGCAGGTACAATGTAAAATGCTTCCTGCTGCTCCCATTCCCCGGAAGCCTCTGAGAAAGGTTTGCAAGGGACGTCTGCAGAAAGTGTGTTGCGGTGGAACAAATTAGCACTGCTCATGGAGCCACAACTGGTTCCGAGTTTCCACACTGAGAGGAAGGAAAACGCTGTCATGCCAAGCCATGTTTAGCTCTGCTTGTTCCCTGAGTGCTGCATCTGCCAGGAGGCTTGGGGCTTTCTCCTCCTGCACTCCTCATCCTCAGGAAGCCAGTTCTTGAAAGATGGAACCATCTTTGCAGAGGGCTGTAAGGTTGTAGCACCAGCGCTGGCTCCCTACTGCAGGGGAAGCAAGGGGGGGGCTGAGTTGGGGCTCCCTAGTGAGTCATGTTTGGCTTACGAACCAAAGGTTGCCGACCCCAACATTGCATATACTAGCACTTAGCCATTTCATAGTATTTTTTCATCTGCAGATCTCAACACACTTAGCAAAGGTAATACGTATCAGGGCCCAGAGAGTGGAAGTGGCTTGATCACACTCACATAATGAGCCCATGGCAGAGCCAGGAATAGAATCCAAGTCCCTTAATTCAGTGGTTACCAACCTTTCTTATACCACAGACTGGCAAACTCATTCAAAAACTGTTGGCACTGGAATATTTGAATATTCATTATGGTAATTTTAGCCCATGGTATATCAAGCAAATCAAAGGACATGATGGCTAACAATAATTTGAAAAAAGTGCACACACATATTTTTAAAAAGCAATAAAATAGTTGCTAATACTTGTTAAAGAGTATACTCCACTCTAAAACTTTTGCCTTAATTGCACCAGAATTAAAGAGGCAGTAGTAACAGGTCTGACAGGGCTGACACATTCAGCACATTTATATTTTCTTATGCACTTAATAATGCATAATGTGTGTACCTGCTAGCTGGGAGCCGCTGGAGGCCAAGGTGAGGCTTCCGCTGAGCAGGGAGGGAGGAGAACGGAGTCACAGGAACAGCTGCTCTGGATGAGATGCTTGGCCTTGCCAGCTGGGGCAGCCACTCTATATGTGGTGCTCAGCCCAGTAGGGACAGCCTCACCATGGTCCCGGCTCCAGCCGCAGCACACCCAGCTTCTAGCTGCCTCACTCACCCTGAGGAAGGAAGTGCACAGGAAGGGAATTCCCTGGGAACCCCAGGGGGCAGAATTAAATAAAAGCTGGGGGTGTGGCCTGGCAAGCCACTGCAGCCCATCAGACGGGTTCATGGCCTGTCTCTGGTCCGCAGTTGGGAACCACTGACCTAAATTGCAGCTCTGTCTCGCCTATTCACTGGACTGCACTATTTTTTGGAGTAAGAGATTGGTCATCAATACTCTTGAGCTAGGTCTACACTGCAGGCTTATTGCACAAGAACTGTTTTGTGCAAGAGTTCTTGTGTAAAAGGTCTTGTGCAAGAGCGCATCCATACTACCCTGTGCTTTTGCACAAGAGATGTGCTTTTGCACAAGAACGTCCATGGCAGTGTGGACTTTCTCTTGTGCAACAAAGCCCTCACGGCCATTTTAGCCATAGGCCATTTTAGCCATAAGAGCACTTGTGCAAGAAGGCTTATTCCTTGTGGGGAGAGGAATAATTCTTGCACAAGGAGCCCTCTGTTCCGACACTTTACTGTAAATTTACTTACGCAAGAACACATGTACAGTGTAGATGCTCCGCAAGCTTTTGCACAAGAACAGTTGTTCTCGCACAAGAAGCCTTCAGTGTAGATGTAGCCTTGGAATTTTGTCCAGCTCTACTGCTGACTGTGTCACCTGAGGAAAGTCACTTAATCCCTCTGTGCCTCAGTTTCTCAGACATGCCCCCATCTGAAAATAAGAAGACAAAGTGAGACTCTTGCTTTTCAATATTTCTGCAGGAGGAGTAGTCTCTTGTCACCTCAGGGTGTCTTTCTGGTTCCCCAATGCTCTTGAGTGTCCCTTGCTGTGATATGTTAGAAGACAGTGCCTCAAGGTGCTCTTTGACCAGTAGCTTGGCCTGCCTGAGAGAGAGTTGTGTGAAAAGATGGTTTCTTGAACCAGCTGTGACATTCATCCCATTGAATGAGATACACATCTGAAACGAGTGTTAAACATTCCTGGAAGGCTCATGCTTCTGGAAGCTGGCTGTCCTGGGTCACCTCCCTAGCAGTCCACTCATCATAAAGCAAGGCTGGGCAAGATGTGGTCCGGGGGCCTGATCCGGCCCGCCTAACACTTTGATCCAGCCACTGGACTACATCTGGCTGCTTTCTATTTATATCCTACTGCCCGTGCCACCAAATTTCCAGGCAGTGGCTCAGGCAAGAGGATCATATTTAAATAGCTCACGTACATGGCGCTATCCTAGAAGGAGCCAGAGACTCAAGGCCTTTAAATAGCTGCAGTAACCGGGTGGCTGCCAGGCAAGGCAATAGCAGCAGGGACAGGAGCCCTTTACTGTGTTTTTAATTCAAAGCCTCCGGCCTCAGACAACATGAGAGGAGGCTAGTCCCCAACCCCACCCCGTAACCACAGCAAAATTCATTAAGTGGCCCCCTGCAAAAATGATTGCCCACCTCTGCCATATAGGGAAGCAGGCCCTGATCACAGCACTAGTCCACCTTGCCTCAGGGCATTTGTAACAAATTCCTAATTTTAAGATCATGAGTAGATCTAGTCACCCTATTGGGATTGTATGTGTGCCTAAAGTTAGGCACATACTTAAGTTCCTTGCTCAATTTGTGCCTAGATAGATAAATACCAGCAGCCTGCCCCTAGTAGGTTGAAGGTTTCCATTGCTTGTTGCTGAAGGTTCATACACAAAGAGATGGTTGTATTTCCACAAGGCAGATCTTGAATTGTATGAGCTCAGAAGAGCTAGTGGAATAAGGTAAGGTAGGATTAGCTGTGTTGTTGTTTTTCCTGGCTGGGAAGACAACTGCCAAGGATTCATGAAAACATGTGCATGTTGTGAATTGTATCCCAAATCATCATGCTGGAAAGTGGGTTGTTCACCATTTGCTATTCTCCAGTTTAAAAAATGTCAGCCATTCAGGAAGCAGTCACTTAATGAAGAGTTAAGTTGTTAGCTACACTCGCAAACACAGTACTAATCAAACCCAGTTAGATGTAATTCACCATAGAATAGAAAGTATTATCTGAGCTCTGTCTATACTACAGTTTCCACTGCTACCACTCTTGGAGCTATCTACACTAGCAGTGAATGACAGCCACAGTGCAGGAGTAGCCACGGTGAACAATTTACTAACAGCCCAGTCTGATATTAGTGTCCATCATCTGTTCAACAAATACTAACAAATAGCAAAAACTATTGTAGAAGTCAGGATCCCTCATCTACATGGGAAAGAGCAAAGTCTTTTCCACAATGAATGATTGGCCCAGACAATGAAAGCTATATTCTCAGCCTGAGGCACATAGGTTAAATTTTACCTCTGAACTCCATGGGCTTTGGAAATTCTGTTTCTATTTCTCTCTTCTGTGATTGATGGATATTGAGTAATTTTCAAACAACAAAGCAAAACTGTATCCAGCTGGACTGAACAACTTAACATATAAGCTAATACTGCTGGATTCTTATCAAGCACATTTTATGTTTCGATTAATCTGTATTAACAAACTGGAATGAATGCAAAAACTTCAGGAACGCATGCAGCATATGCAGAAAATTGGAGCAGTTTAGGGCTGTTTCCTTTATAAGGACAATGACTCACTTTTTTCCTCAGGAAAAGGCAAAAACAAAGAATCTCCTGAAGTGAAGGAATTCCAAGAAATCCAGCCTGTGCCTCTGACAGTAGAATTCCAAGTTCAGCTGATTCAGTGGACAGCCACATCCGATGCCCAGTACCAATAAAGATATGAGAACCATTTGCTTGATGACACAGGTTCATATAATATATGTGCAGCAAAAAAACAGTTGATGAATTGTGGGAAGAATGCTGGTTGCTGAGACTGGCCTTGGACCGGACGGGGAGTGAAGGAAGGGGAAGGAAAAGGGTTCTGGGTGCTTGCTTTGACTAGGGGAATAACTTTGTGAGGTAGTGACTGGAGAATAACACAGAACCTAGAAGGAAGTGTAGGGGAAACTTTCAATTTGCTGTTTATTTCCCTGACAGGCCACATCACCATCTTGGTTTGCCTCAGGTTGTCCTTGGGCTTCATACTGGTCCCCTTTCTTTATCCCCATTTGGCATCTTTTAGGTTTGTGGTGGGAACAGGTTAGCCATATGACCAGCTAATCTGCCTAGTGATGAGAGGCAATTTAACACTGCCTCTCTTGTCACTCAGGGCTGTCCACCAGGAGGCAGCAGTGAGCACTAATGAACTATAGCAAGTGCCCATACAGGAATAGCAGATGTCTTGATGAGCTCATCTCCAGCCCGCTCACCTCTTGGGCTAGCACCTGTATTGTATTGGGGAGGGGGTTCTCTCACACACTCACTGGATAGTGGCTCACTGGCTCTCTAGCCTCACTCAGACCCACATCCAGGACAATGCAGCGAAGAAGAGGAAGAAAGAAGACACCTTACCTGAGAGGATATCAATCCAGGATCCTGCCTTTTCCTCTTGCATCCAGTCCAACACAGCATATTCATCCCTGGCCATCCTGGAGCGGGGTCCCATACTTGTTGATGAGAATGGTACAGTTATAATCCAAATCTCTTTACCTCACCTGCCGTATCATATTGGAGTCCTGGATTCAGGCCCTTAGGCATTAGCAATTGAAGAGTTATATTTTTACCAGGTATTTGTATTGCTGTTAGTCTTGTTTTAGTGTGGGTTTCTGCCTTATTTTCCTGTTTTAATTCCTATTAATAAACTCTGATCTGTTTGCCCCATTCATTGGTGTGTGTTTTTGTTAAGGGTACAAACACCCAATTATGTGTATGTAGCGCCCCCTCTCCACCTGGTTACCTTTTTTTAAAGCCAATCTCCTTTCAGGTTTGGATGGATAGGTCTGGGTCACCCACACAATTTTAATCTTTCTGATTGATGTACTTGGCGGTGCCGCCACCCCCCTCACTCCTTCCTAGCAGGGTCACCAGGGCAGCTTGGGAGGAAAATTCTAGCCCAGGGTAATCCCCATGTATTTACCAGATAGTTGGAGACTCCCAGAAAATAGCACAAACACATACACTATAATAAACACAATTATATTAAACAAGAGACAATTAGAACAGGGTAAAACACTATTTTTAGGGTCACCGGTGCCCAGCAACTGTGAGGTTAGTGTCCCGTTGGTACGCGTACTTTGATGGGGCCCTTGATGACTGTTGACCACAAAATCCTTCTCTGCAGTGGTTTAGCAGTGGGGCTGACTAGGTCCAGTACAGCCCAAAGGACTCACACATGGGAGAAGGCAGTAAATCCCTCCATAGGTTCAGGTCCCTAGAGGCTAGTTCTCAGGGGGAACCCTGCATGCAGGCCTGGGGCTTACTAGCTCCCACACAGCCAGCCCTCCCCTTGCCCTGCTGGCTCCAGACTCCCCTCAACAATGGTCTCTCTTTCTCCCTGGGAGGGGCATCTCACTCCCTATGGGTTGCCGGGCAGACTCTGGCCCTGGTAGGGAGGGGGAGCCAAGGCAAACTCAGAGCCTCTCCCTGAGCTGCCAGCAGACAAGGCCCCAGGAATCCAAGTAATCTCCTTGGGGGTTACATGTATTGGGCCAAAAGAGCTGAGTATTTGTGTCCCAGTTGGTGGTTGAAGACTTCACAGTAGGACTTGAATGGCCTTTGAGTGTGGAGTTGGTGGCAGGGCAGATGGGCCAGAAGCCCCAGCAGGAGCAAGAGCAGGCCTCATGGCCATAGAGAAGTTCTTCAAACCAGAACTCACAGCTGGCAGGGAGCTGAAATGAAGTGGCAGGAGTTAGGTTTGCTGGATGGAGTTTGAATTGACAAATACAAGATGGTGGTCCGCTTGCTTTCTGTAATATTTGTTGAACATTATTTCTGTCCCATCCACATTAACACTCAAACTATTTTCCATGCTGCTTGAGGGAGGCCTGGGGCTGGCAATTTGTTGCTATCAGCAGATCAAAGTCCTAGTATAATCTGACCTTTTGTCACTTGAGGGTGGTCACATATGGGCAGGTATGCAAGGTCACATTACCCTCCCCCCACAGTTGTGTTTTATATGTCCTGCCCTGAACCCCGCTGCATACCACCAGTGCCACCCTCCTGTTATCAGCAGGTATGCATCTTCTTTGGTGTCAATTCATTTTCAGAATGCCTGGAACATTCACTCTCAGACTACTGCTGTGGGGTTCTTTAACAGTAGTGGAGAGTGAAGGACAAGCTATTTTAGATGCTCTGGTTTCTCCAAGGAGAAAACTTCTAAGCTGGCAGGTCTATTTGCCTTCTCAGCCAGATGGTATCACCAGAGCCACACACCTGAGATACTGTTTTCTTGCCCAGAAGTACAATAATTTGCATAGTTACCTTTTAAGGAGAACTCAGACAGGATAGAGCATAAGAGAGCAGCTTGTGTCCTCCTCATTGGTCTGCTAGAGAAGCAGTTACCGAGTTTTGTCGACAAAAGTGGTCTTTTGTCGACAAAACTATACCTGCGTCTACACTACCGCTGAGTTCTGTCGACATAACATTGATGGAACTCAGCAGTTTTGTCGACGCTGGTAAGCCCCATTTTACGAGGCATAACGCCTTTTGTCGACAGAGCTCTGTTGACAGAAGGTGTTATTGCATCTAGGGTTGTGTCTAGACTACAGGGTTTTGTCGACAAAGCAGATTGCTTTGTCGACAGAACTGAATGTGTCTAGACGCTCTATGTCGACAGAAGTTTTGTCGACAGTATCTGTCGACAAAACTTCCGTCAACAAAACCCTGTAGTCTAGACATACCCTTACTTATGTTGGAAGAGCTTGCAAGAGATGATTGTAGGGCAGTAATAAGGATAACACAGATATTCTCTCCCTCCCCCCACCCAAGACAGAAAAGCTGTTGAAAAGGGCAGAACATATTTGTTATAAATGAAGAGAACTCTCTAAGAATTTATTGGTGAACTTCCTCAAAGCAGAGGGAAGTCACTGGAAGGTCTGGAGTAAAGTGGGAAGTTCCCCTCCCCTTCCACATACCTTGTGATATATTTCGACAAATGATGGTGGACTCTATAGAAAAATGAGAGAGTTGGATGATGCAGAAGGCTCCTGTCAAATATGTTGAAGATGGCTGTTGTTGAATGATTACATCCTGTCTCCATTTGGGGAGCAGTGTTATTCTCCTATTCCAAACTAACAAGTTGGTTCTAAAGTGATCAGTGGTGAAACAGTTAATGTGTTAACATTTAACTCTGTCACCTGTAGATTTCTGAATTAGCACCAGCTGAGATTCATGACAATTCATATCCAGACCTAGCTATTGTTTCAGGTTCTCTGGCAGGGAGCCCAGTACCGGAACCTACCTAGAAGATTTTTCTTGCACGGAGAAAAAAGCAAAACACTAAATGTTGCAGATCTGGCCCATTTTATCTACTTTCTAAGTACACAAAACCACACACACACACACTGAGGCCCCACCTCACTTGCTACATTAGGCTTCCCTGCATTGCTTGCATTCACATACTCTCACTCACTTTCACCAGGCTGAGGCAGAGAGATAGGGTGTGGGAGGGAGAGGCAGGCTCTGAGTCTGGGGAAGGCTGGGGAGGAGGGGTTTGGAGTCCAGAAGGGAGATCAAAGCTGGGACAAGAATTGTGGTGCAGGGGTGTATGTGAGGTGCATACTGGGTGGGAGCTTGGGTGGTGAATGGGACATTCTCGGCTGTGGCAAGTTGTGTAGAAGAGGATTTCGGGTCCTAGTGGCACTTACTGTGGGTCCCAGGAAGGAGCTACCTGCACCCTGTGGCCAGGGCCGGCACACAACATTTTGGCACCTGAGGCAGGGAGCTCAAATGACGCTCCCATGCGTCCTCGCTTGGGCCAAAACTTTGAAAGGTCTCAATTCTGCCTTCTTTCTGTCTTCTCCTCTCGTGGTACTGCTCTCCCCCAATAAAGGAGAACTAAAAACTTAAAATGCCTCATTCAAAAATGTTAAGTAACACTTAACTTTCAAACGCTTGAACAGCAAATGTAACTTTTCTTGTCTGCATAGTAAACACTGGCATTTTTACCTGTTTGCTTCTTGGTTGCAGAGATTTGAACTGCTTCTAAAGGTCCACAGTCTGGGCCAACTCATGCTCTATTGAGATGGTTGCAAGGCCGACCAGTCTCTCCTGTGTCATTTGGAGCGTAGATGTGTTTTTATTCACTTCAGCTTGGAGAAGCTGCATTCTCCACTGGCAACTGTTACAGGAAGTGTTAGAAGTATGCACAGAGCAACAAAAGCATTTGGTAACAGGGTGGTCATCTTGTGCACATATATTCCAGAACAGCCTCAGGTGCCAGACTGGGGGGAACGGGGTGCCATTAGGACCCAGAGTGTAGAAAACTGTGTCTGCTGCTGGTGCATAGATGATGCCATAGTTGCCATTATGGAGGATAATGCTATGACAGGAACTGTTTGTGGGAGAGCAGTGGCATAGGGAAATGGAATCACCAGAAACATACATAGCTTCAAATTTCTGTGTGGATTAGTGTTGTGGCATGACGTACTGTTTGAAATAAATGTTGTAAGCAAGAGACTCCAAGGTGTTGACCTTGATATAGCTGGAGCAATGGAACAACTGGACAAAGCAAAGTCACACCTACAGTTTTACCGGTCAGATGAGAGATTTCAAAACATTCCAAAGAGTGCACAGAAGTTGGCAGAGGAACTTCACACTGAAGCTATTTCCCCGCCCATTCAAGAATACAAGAGTCACCGAAGAAGACAACATTTTGATTACGAGGTGCGGATAATCCCATAAGGGACCCCAAACAACAATTCAAAGTTGAATTCTTTAACCAAGTGCTAGATTGTGCAATACAGTCAGTGGAAGAACGTTTCATGCAGCTCAAAGAACACAGCAGCATATTTGGGATGTTGTATGATATTCCAAAACTCCTCACTATACCTGAAGAAGATTTACATCAGCAGTGCAGGTCACTAGAGACAGTGTTGACACATGATGACTTGTGTGGTATTGATGCGAGTGATTTAGGTGATGAACTGAAAGCTCTTTCAAGATGGCTGTTCTGGAATATATGTGCACAAGTAAGATGACCACCCTGTTTCCAAATGCTTTTGTTGCTCTGCGCATACTTCCTGTAACAGTTGCCAGTGGAGAATGCAGCTTCTCCAAGCTGAAGTGAATAAAAACACATCTACGCTCCAGAATGACACAGGAGAGGCTGGTCGGCCTTGCACCCATCTCAACAGAGCTTGCATCCATCTCAACAGAGCATGAGCTGGCCCAGACTGTGGACCTTCAGGAAGCACCACTTTGATTATTCCAACAGATAAAAATGCCAGTGTTTACTATGCTGACAAGTAAAGTTACATTTGCTGTTCAAGCGTTTGAAAGTTAAGTGTTACTTAACATTTTTGAATGAGGCATTTTAAGTTTTTAGTTCTCTTTTATTGGGGGAGGTAGCAGAGCAGTACCACGAGAGGAGAAGACAGGAAGAAGGCAGAATTGAGACCTTTCAAAGTTTTGGCCCAAGCGAGGACACATGGGAGCATCATTTGAGCTCCCTGCCTCAGGTGCCAAAATGTTGTGCCAGCCCTCCCTGTAGTCTCTAGGCACAAAGGGACTCTTCATACTGCCCTCACTCACACAGGCACCACCACCACCATTGCAACTCCCATGGGCCACGGTTTCCAGCCACTGGGTCTCACAGGGCTGGTACTTCAGGTGAGGACCAGACACAGAGGCCCCTATGCCTAGGAATTACAAAGACCTTGCTGCTGCTTCTGGGAGCCATGTGGAACCAGGGCTTATCCCAGGGCTCCTGCTGCAATACCAACCAGACCTCTCACAGCCCAGTCATCAGGGCTGACTGGATCCACCAGGTCTCTTTTCAATTGGGCATCCTGGTCAAAAACTGGCTGGCTGGCAACCCGAAAGGCTGGGCCACTCAGGACCCGATTGGAAAACCCTTAGGGTTGTCCAACCCGGCACTAAACATGTCCATTTCTTGTCCATATGAATTACATTTTCACGTGGGCAGAGCTTGTGCTCTGTTTAAGCCGAGTTTCCCCCCTCATCCTCGCCAATCTTCATTCTGGAAACTAGGGGTGAAGCTCTGTTCAGCCCAGTACCAACTGAGTACAACCTTTGTCGCCAACAGGCAATATAGGGAGCAGGTAGGTGTGCAGAGAATTTCCAATAAAACGCCACCTCGAGGTGCTTATTGACCTTTCCCGGCCGGGGGCAGAGAAGGACTCTCGGAGCTCTCACCCCAAACTGCAGGGTGGGGGCTCAGATCAAAGTGCTTTGGAAGAACAACGGGGGCAGGGACGCGTCTGTAGCCCTGGCCCGCGCATTGCAATTTGCATTCCCGGCAGCTGAGCCCCCGCAGCACTTTCCCCCTTGCTCAGCAACTTTCGGGGATGGGCGATTTGAACTCATTCAGGCTCCCTCTGCAGGAGAGTAAATGCCCTCCCCCCTCATTAAAATAATCCCCTAATTGGGTCCTGCCCGCGCTCTCCCGCAGCTGACCCATTGGCCGCTGGCGCCGCTCATGTCCCCCCCCCCCCCACCCCCCCCCTCTTGCCACACCCCCGCC